GAACATAGTCGAAACGAGCATCGGGAGATTTAAATGAGCCTAAGGGACATTTATTGTGTCTGATAACCTTAGATTTTTGGCGGCTTACACAGGAGCGTGCTCAATCCCTCACGTCTTTATTCATACCAGGCCAGCAAAACAGTTCTGCTATGAGCTTGATGGTTGCACGAACACCTGGATGAGAAAGTTTGTGCAATGTGTTGAAGACATTGCGTCGATAATGTTTCGGCACGATTGGGCAATCCCTATCTGTAGATGTGTCACAAAGCAAGGTTTCCTTACCTGTTCGCATCTGTTTGATGCGTAGTTTAAGAGTTGTAGACGATAACTCGTGCTGAAGACCAGTGTTTTCTTTTTGAAGCTCGGCTAGTTTGAGAAGGTCGATGCCCTGGAAACTGTTCAAGGAAGTTATGCGAGACAAGGAATCCGCAACTACATTGTTTGCTCCAGAGATGTGTTGAATGTCTGAAGTAAACTGCGAAATGTAGTCCAGTTGTCGAAACTCACGGGGAGAGTACTTGTCAGAAGGAGAGCTTAACGAGAAAGTGAGTGGTTTATGATCAGTGAAAAGAGTGAGTTCACGATCTTCGATGTAGTGTTGAAAATGTCGTACAGCACAATACATAGCTAGGAGTTCCCTACCGAATGTGCTGTATCTCGATTCGGTGTCTAGCAACCGTCTAGAGAAAAATGCCAAGGGTTGCCAGGAGTTGTTAACCCATTGCTGTAAGACTCCTCCGATTGCTGAGTCGGATGCGTCTACTGCGATACTAATGGGTGCTCGGTGTCCTGATGTGCAAGCATTGTTGCTTTAGCGATCAGTTCCTTAACTGTGGAGAATGCTTTTCGTGCGGTGTCGTCCAAATTAATGGATTTCGCATTTCCACGAAGTTGGTCGGTTGGCGGTTTCATGAGTAGAGCGCATTTCGGTATGAAGCGTCTATAGAAACTTACCAGGCCGTTAAACGTGCGTAATTGCTTGACGTTGGTCGGTTCTGGGTAATCTAGAATCGCCGACACTTTGGTCCTAAGGGGTCGAATGCCTTGAGCATCTATAATGTGTCCTAGGAAGTTTAATGACTCGGTTCTGAATTGGCATTTCTGAACGTTTACGGTAATGCCATGCCAGACTGGGAGTAATCTGCAACCATAAAAAGAAGTTACGCCAACGGATAAATTAGTGTTTCCGTCTACTAGCCTCCGTTTGCGCGTATCGATGATCAGATTATGGTGTTGTAGAAGGTCCATACCAATGATTGGCATAGAAACATCTGCAACAACGAAGATCCAATGAATGGAATTGCGTAAACCCACGTTCAGGTAAACATACCTTTTGCCATACGTACAGATAGGTTTTCCGTTTGCCGCCTGTAAGTTGAGAGCCGATTCGTGAAGCTGGTCGTTAGTATTTGCTGGAGGAACGCTAACTTCTGCGCCAGTGTCGACAAGGTAGCAAACTTTCGTTGTCACATCTGTAACGTATAACAGACGGCTATGTTCGCCGGCTACAGTTGCCGTTAACGCGTGCCGGCTTGGAAGTTTCCCGAGTTGTTTTTCGAGTCAGTCGGTTTTAAGTTGGGAAAATTGCAGGGTTTTCTGCAATTTCTGGAAGATTTTCCATACTGATTATGATACCAGCACCAGTCGGGGTTATCCGTCTCTCGTGGTCTAGAGACAGATCGTTTACGCGAAATGCTTCTACGTGGGGTGCGTGATCGCTTACGATCGTTACGAAAATTAAGATAATGCGTGGGTGTATGGCATAGCTTCGTTATGTCATTCTGAGGCTTTGAGGCTTTTCTTTGACTGGAAAAACCTCGGTAGTAGAAGATTTCGTAATTCCTAAGATACGATCGGCAGATGCGGCCAGCTCGTCTAAGGCGTTGTTCCGAAACTAGAGCAGAACCGCTTTCACCTGTTGGGGAAGTTTGGACAAGAAAGGTCGTTTGAATAGGCCTTCGTCGAAAGTCCTTAGGCCTATCACTTCTCTCATTCTTTGCAACATGTCAGTCGCAGAACCGTGTTGCAGGTCGATGTTATTGAAGAGTTGATCTAACCTTTGTCGATCGGTTAGGTCTCCTCGTTTAAGAATCGAACGTTTCAAGATTTCGTAAGGATCGGAAACATCACTAGTAAACATACTAGGTGTTACGTACCTGTTGAATTCCCGAGGTATTGCCTTGACTACTGCGAGGAATTGTGCACGTGTGTCGATCACGCCGTGCTCGGAGAAATCGGATTCTGCGTAACAGAACCAGGCTTCGATATTGTCGGGCCAGAAAGGCATTAGTTGAAACGAAGGCGGGGACAAAGTCTTAAGCTTGAGTACTTTGGGTGTCTGTTCAGCCATGATGAACTATGAATTATGATAATGAACGAGGGGAAAAGTATATATATATATCCAAGGAAAAACACGAAAAAAAAAATCACAATGTTTAAAAAAATTAAGGTAATAATATATAAAAATTCCAAAAAGGAACAGACTCACAGTTGCAATTAGGTGTACCAGATCACGACGGTCTCACCAATGAGGATGGCACTGGTATTCAGTGTTTGACAACGCTTCTACCAGTAACACCTTCTAATATGCTTTATTCCCACCGAGAGAAATCAAAAGACAGAGTCGAGGAGATCGGAAGAGTGTATTTGGCGATAACCAATATATCGGGAATCTCTGGTCTAATCTGGCTAGTGATTGCGGTTGATGTTGAGCACAGCGTGACAGCACGTGATCTGGTGCGGATGCATGACCGAGCGCCTTCAGCTAGATGAGTCCACTAAAACATATGGTCAGCATCCAATGTCGAAAACCTATTGAGCTATTTAGTTTGGGGATTTATTCACCGCTACAACTTCAAACAAAACTGAATGAAATCCCTCTTTCTTCCTTTGGCCCACATAGGACCATCAACTTTGAACTCGTTAGAGTGAATACCATTTGATGCATCCCAAGTACCCTTTCTAGTGCTCCTTTTAGCAGCGTTCACCATTGCAATGGTTTCGGATAGCACTCTTTCAGCACTCGAAAAACATTGCTGGCACGACCACACGTAATCATTTCCACTCACCATTGTGAAAGCAGCGAATGTCGCATCCGTGAAAACGCCGTGCTAAAACCCTTCACACTTATAGCATTGCATGCCACTTTTAGTGAGGTATCAGCAATTCGAGCGTTGATAGTTGCTTTTTCCGAACTGCCCAGTCAACGAACGAAGGTTTTTGAATAATGTACAAACAGACAAAATACAAAGACAAAAACTGATTGTCAGAAAAAATGGAAAAAATGAACTGTTAGGTTCGAGAGTGCAACACAAAAAACAATTTTACTCAAAAAGTAAAGGTGATAAATTACTTTTGAATAAAACGATAATCTTGGCGTTACTTTTGCCAAAACAAATTTGGTTGAAACCAAAACAGTAGTTTCAGTGCATAAGAAATTATTAAAATCTTAACATCAACCCACCGTGGAAAAGTACTTTCTGCTTTCTTAAATTGAGTGCGTTGTTTTTTACTCATAGTAATATGTAAGCATTTTCACTCAAAAAATTAACTCTTCAAAAATAATCTGTGGAAACGAAAGCTTTATAACTTATGAAAACTTTTAAATTCTCTGATTCAATTATTACAGTACAAGTTACTGACCTCTCACAGTTTAATAGGAAGCGCATTTTTCAAGCCTGGAGCTATTGTGTGTCACTGTAAGTTGCTTATCTGTCGATCAATTATATTAGTGCGTATGTCCGCTTCTACCGCTCCTACTAATGGTATCCAGGAATTTTTTAAAATTCGTTTCGCGAAAACATTGTAAAGCTGTGAATTCACACCTGTTCGACATGTTTTTTTGTAGATTAATCAACAATACCGTAATTACGGTGTTGTAGCATTAAGCCTTTAAGATTGATAAGTTACTCTCAGGCTTACAAGTCTTGGCAGACACGAATGTGATTTTAGCTTCATTAAATGTAGTTTGAGGAAATGTAACCTGATGAGACCATTTTAATACCCCTCCAACTCCACTATGTCCCTTTGCTTACTGTGGCTGTAAGCTATACAGACGGTGTTGCTATAAGCTTAACATGTTTGGACATTGTCTAATACGACATTTTGTCAGCAGTTATACCTGAGAACGGGCGAATTTATCATCTGCAACCAGTCGTTCATCAAAGATATGAGGAAATGTCACGTTAGCTAATTGCAACTACATCAACCCAATCTTTCATCACGTCATTCAATGTATACAACCATTGATTATAGTCATACGAAGGTACCCTATGGCAACATCCATTTATTTATGTTTTACTTCAAATTTTCTGATCTGTTATCGCAGTGGATATCGAGTTAGGTGGTCTTTGTCCAACCACACATCTCCCAACTACCGTAGACCATGGTGATTTCTAATTTCATCAGTTGACTTGGGTTTTATCGAGCAACCTACCCTTAACTCATTCGTTAGTTGCGCTCCACTCAATCAATGCTTTGAAGACTCACGTTTTCATCTTCTTTTATGTGCAATATTTCATAGCTGTAAGTTGTAACAGAGTGGACTGTACTCGCCTCTTTGTTTGATAGGCATCTCATTTTCACTAATGATGGCTCAGGTTGCTAAAAACTAAGTGGGTTTTTCTATTTTAATCGTGGTTTTGCTAGTTATCAGAGTGATAGGGTTTCCAAGACAACTGAAGTGATCGAAGCACTTAACTATTGCAGTCGGCCGAAAAATGGTATCTACTTGAGTTAATTATTAAAGGTGACAAATGACTTGTAATATGTCAGCGTTGTGTTGAATGTTTTCTGCAAAACAGTTGGTGATATATGTCAGTTAACCGCTTCTGTTTGTTTTAGCAGATAACTTGCCAGCATAACATTTATACTATTAATAATAGTGATGTGAACATGGTTTCGGTTGTTTCTTAATTGTTTTAAGGTAGTATACTCTCAGTTTTTAATCGCTGTGTTGTTTTACGATAAATTTCCCGTTTTTTCCTTGCACATTTCCATAGATGGCTATTATAATTCCGAGGACAGGGTCACATCTTACACTATTTACTCGTTCTTTGTGTAGCAATTTTCGTAGATGCTCTTCCGTTAGCAATACATATCTACCTGCTCCAAGGACTCAGATTTATTCCCATTTTGAACAAGTGTCTCAAATGTCATCAGTTATTGGCAAATTTACAACCTATTCTGAAAATGAGTTTTCCTTTTTCATAGAACCATTTCTCAAAGTCGAGTTAGTAGAAGAACTTAAAACCTTCGGTGACCTATCACTTTTGATTCGGAAACCAACAATCAACATGATTAAGGACGTAATTAACATTCGAGATTTACAGAAAGAGAGTTTCAAAAAGGAACCTGACTCCTCTGAATTTGTCGCACTAGCTAAATACTGTGTTCCACGCTTTGTACTCTATGGCCAACCGGGGACTGGTGTTTCAGTCATTTTGGGACAAATTATGTGTTTCGCCGGTAGAGAAAAATGGCTTATATTTCCGTTCACGAGTTGTGAAAATTTTCTGGAACCATCAAATGACATTGCTCCTAGCAATGAGTATCACTATAACCAACATCGTGAGAATTTTGCGGGTGATGCTTTTGATTTCCCAGCTCGTTCTGCTGAATGGCTTAAATTCTTTTTACAACTTAACCGACCATTGTTTGAAAAGGTATCTGTCATTTTATTATTTTATCTTCCTGATTTCCTTGGTTCTAAAAGTACTATTGTTTGTGCACACATATTAAAAGTGTTTTCTGAAAATCTTATGGCAGTATTAGGATCTTGATACCACGAGCTTTTGGTTCATCAATCGTTAGTGACAAATTAACATAGATGCATCTATGATTTGCGGAAAGTCTCCAGTACGGGACAAACAGAACTACTGATTTCGGTTTTAAAGGCGTGTGGCTACTCTATAACAACGATTTATGATCGTCCATTTTTGTAGGTATCTTACCAAAATCTTGAGTGCTATTAGGGATAAAAGCGGTTTCCACTTCCTGGTTGCTCACACCATGGAAGGGTTCTTCTAGTGCTACCTGGGAAGGAAATCGGTTTAGAGGTAGTCCTAGTGACCTGAGAGTGTGACCGTAGTGCCCAAGGGACAACTACTTAAGGTCGGTCACACACCACCTTTTTGATGGTAATTTTCGTGTTAGCTCCGTATTTGTTGAGACCTACCTTCAGAGACGGATATCCGTGGGATAAGATGAGTTGTGCATGTTTAGGGCCTAAAGAAAACATCTTACTACCGTCACTTCTCTGTACAGCCAGCGGTAAGACTTCACCCTCGGACCTCGGGTGATTGAAAATCAAGAACCAGCTATTAGTTAACCACTTGACATGTTTGTTAATTGATAGTACTGTGTATCCACCTAGACCTCGCTTATCGAAGCAATGTTAGAATATATAGTTTGTTAACTAGAAGTGCTCAAATCAACGTACTACAATCCTATCACTGTAATAAATAATTCGGTTATTTTCGACTTATTTTTCCTGTTTTCGAAACTATAAAGCCTGTTATTGTCAATAAAGTGTTTATTAATACATTCATATGAGTAATATGATATTTGGTAGGTAACTTGCAGAGGCAGTTGGGGAATATTTCTAATTTCGAACCACTATCTGCTTCGATTGCGATGTTTTCTGCAATGAATATAAGGTAAGGGAATTTAAACAAAAAACCAAAATAAAATACTAGTGGTTGAAGTTAACGACTACTACTTTAAACTGTAGTTATGAGACTTGAATATTGAGCTCAGTAATTACTGGAAACCCATAGTCAGATATCTCAAACAAAATGGACTAAAATCAACCTCATAAGCTTATTAATCTTCTGTCTTGCAACACTGCTGGATCATTTTATTAATTATTTTCCCTATTTTCTCATGGCTTTCAAGTTTTGGTGACTTTAGTCTCATCGTTAACTTTTACCCTAGAATATTTAGGTATCTAGAACTGTATATTCGACTCGTTTGTTATCTCCTCAGGTGTCGCTTTCAACTTGTATCTTCTTAATTACGCTGACCAACTCCACAAGAAAGAATCTAGTTAGCTCATATTACATTTTTTAAGCTAATCTAACATTTGCTCTTACCGGACATTAGCACCTACTAACTAAAATGTTGATGATAGACATGTAGTGTATAATACTCCCAAATTAGTTTATGCATCATCTATCTCTCTGTCTTGCAAAGCTGGCTTACATATGAGTATGTTAGAAGGAAACTATGGTTGACCAAACGATTTGGTCACTGACAGTTATCATGATTTGTGTTAGGGGTTGCAGGCTTCTTATTTGAGTGGGTGTGCGATGCTAATCGTAATATTTAAGTTATCTAGCTCACAATCGATTGGTATGGTTCAAATACACCTATTTTCAAAATCTAAACTTTATGTCTTTATATTGTCCTTCACTTTTTACTCAATCTTATTCTCAAACCATATTTGATATGTTTGGTTTTCTTTACTATCGTAAACATTACCATTACTTTCATTTGTTTGCTTTACATTTTGTTAATTTCTGTTCTTCTTGCTTATGTGTTATGTCAGTTTGAACCAGTGAGCATTTATGTCAGGTCAAATGTGATAGAATGCCCCAATTTTTTGACATTTTAACCAATAAAAACAAGTAATTTACGTCTTGATACCTTAAGAATCAAGTTTTGTTTAAATTACATTGAAATACAATTTCATATAATTTTTCCATCTTTTGGTCACCTACTTAAAAACCTGTTCTTGATAAGTTCATTGTCTCGAGTGACCAATAACTACTCATGCTGTGAAGCTTGTCTGCCAACATGGTCTTGGTGTACGTAACAATAAAGGTTATTAAACCTTTTGTAATTCATCACATTATATTAAGCTCAGCTTCATTTGATCTAAACTGTGATTAGAATAGAACCATACAAAGAATCCATGCAATTAAATTTTAGAATAGACTTAGCTAGCAAGTCATAAAACCTCGCGATTAAAGTGAAACCGTGGCAAATCTAGAACTTAGACGATTAGTTCAGAGTATTAAATACCAAACTGACGATCCATTCACATCACTAGTTCGATTCTAGCAGATTTGCGTTTTCGCCATTTATCACTCATATAATACGTATCAAAATTTGTTACTTAGTCATGTTCATCGAGTGATATTAGTTGACCACATTACTACATATTTCGTGGCCTGGTTTTAATTTCAGATTTGACTAATTAACTTCGCACCACTTTGAATTTGGCGTGAACCTTTAGTAATCATATTTTTCGCCAAAAATACATTTCAGTTCTTTAAATAGTCCTACAGATAAACCTCTAAATAATATTCACATAATTTTTTCAATGATTATCACTGTCAAAAGTTATCTTTTTCATTTAGTTAAAACCAGTTGTATCTCGACAAGTAGAATGGACCAAAAAAGACATAATGCCCGAAGGAACATCCTGGGTAGATTTAATAAATTTTGGCATCGCCAGGACCAAATACGCAACGGATTGTATTGGAATCTTATTAAGAGAGGTAGTTCATTTGGTTGTTTTTCTCTACATAATTAACATTAAATCATGGAAGTAGAACTTATATTGTAACTATCTAATAAATTTCCATAGATGGTTGAAAATGACACTTCAAATAAACCATATAGTATAGGTACAGTTTATTTATTTATTTTAACACATAGATATTGGTACAAGGAGGCACCAAATACACATGCGCCACACAAATCTCATTCGATATATGTGAGGGCTGTGATACTGCCCGGGTGCTCAAACCGAAACAGGTGGTTTTCTTAGGAGGCCACACCCCGAGCCTTCTGCCTAAAGGTCTGATCCACAAGGCAGTGGAGCATCGTAAGGAGATGCAGTCCCATGGAAGCCAGTGACCAATAACTGGTTCATACGCCATTTGTTCCATTATGATACTGGAGCCCATGTGTACCATTGGTTTGGAATTCGGTTAAAGCGCCGGACATTCGCTTTTCGTTCTCTCATTTTCGTAAACAACACCCCCGTCACGAGAAGGCAGTGAGTAGGACTTCCCTGGCAGAGGCTATATACGCGTGGCCATGTGAGAGCATTTCGAGAGGGAGGGTGGACTTTCCCCACTCTCGGCCGTACCAGGGCATTTGGGGGGCATAGGTACAGTTTCGAAACTGAGACTAAATGAACAGGTTTTCAACAGTGCGATCGCTCGACGGTGGACATGGTGTTGATGTTTAGAAATTTTTCAAAATAATCAATAAGAGAAGGGATTCAAATTCGTGACTGTTTACCGAAGCTGTTATAATAAAAAGATATACGTCGAAAATGTGCATCCAAAAAATATATCCTGTTTTGCCTCGGTGACCTCGTTTTCATGAGATTGTAACGCAAGATTTTTCCATAACTTTGATGTTAATTTATTATATCTTAATTTTTACTTCAGCGGTTTACTCAACTAGTCTGTATCTTTTTTAATTAAGTATTACATAATCTATCCTCGATTTCGAAAAAATTCTGTCGCCACAATTTTTTGAATATTCATATGTTTAACCCGTAAAGAAGTCAACGTGTGAATGATGTTAATTCTTCCATATTACTGTCCCATACTATTATTCTACCTCCACATGTTAACTCAATTTATTCAAGAAGTTCGCGACATAAATTATGTACTCTTCTTTCGGTTTAATGATTAACATTATAGTTCTAGCTTGTAGGCAGCTGAGTAAAAAAGATTTATGTTATTCTGCTACGATATTTGTCCTTTCTTTATTCAAATTATGACAATATTTCATCAATTCGCTATTAGTATTTTCTCTTTTTTTACTCTGCTTCTTGTCGTTTTCTCACTGCACTTGTGTAAAGTTCAGTAAATTGAACCGGTACATATTCGCATCAGGTTTTTCGTTGTTTTGGTGTAGTTAGTTAGGTTTTATAAATCATTTCATAATTTGTGGTTGGTTGTTATGCCTTCAACTTCGAGACCAACCAGTGAGTTTTGGCAAACTTTACAATTTTACATTCTTGTCCTCATAAATCTGACACTAAATGCAAGTGACTCAAAATATTCTTGAACCATATCATTACCCTCTTTTTATGTCACATAAACTTATTTTGAGGTTTTATCGGTACAATTAACTTAGTAGACATCCGGACCATATATTTTCAGATGCGTCTACTATCATCTACTCCTGATGGCCCTCCTTGTTTATTGGTCATCGATGGTGTAAATTTCCTGTGGTGTCGTGGTACTTTATTAAAGGATAAAACTCTTTCGGTTAATGTTACTACCGATCGATTGGCAATTGTACATCATTTGAAACGTGCACTGAGGGGAGACTGGCGTCATGGTGTCATAGTTACCTCTACAAATATTCGGGCGGCTTGGCCTACAGATAGGGAGCAATATACTCCTGGGTAAGTAAATAAGCGTAGATGACTTTTTGTCTAGCTGTGATCTCTGATTTTATCTTTGTATGATTTATATTTGGAGGATTACTCATATAATTCTTTCAGTTAAGTTTCCTAGAATATTATCACCTTAAAAATCGTTTTCAAGTCTCGATAAATTTTTTCCCCCGAAATGCACAATGACCAACTTTATTTCTGTATTATTACTACCAATTAATTTACAAAATACAGACTCACCCACTTGGCTATGAACCTTACTTTAATCGTGAGGGTTAGTGATATTGTGGTGTGTGTTGCTAATGTCGACAGATATAAGTAGTGTGTATCATGAATCGAAAGTGAAATGCCTGGCGGCAGAGGGTTAAGAAGATCGAAGAAAGGAGAACGAGAAGATAGAATGATTGGTGTGGCAACGAAAGAGCATTCAAGTGTTAGACGACTGGTTGACATTTTGCAAATAAAGTATTTACTATATGGTTCTCAGATTTTACTAAGACGTCCTGTAATTTTGTACTCATATACATTCGATTGTCCCCACTTGTGTTCTCGTTCACTACAATACTACCGAGCTATCCAAAATGAAGTAGGTGTAGTGGAGTTCGGACCTCCAACAAAGTATTTAAAAGTCGAACCACTGGACCGCCTCTTCAGTAGGTCAATTTAGTTAGCTGGTATTAGAATAGAAACTATAAAGTAGTAACCTCAAGTCTCAATATATAATAAATTGAATTAGTTTATAACTAAACTTGATCTGCTGCCTAGGAAAATTCACAGTGGAATTTATGTTTGATAATACCATTTACACTGTTTCACACGGCTGACAGCAACGTCATATCTTTGAGTGTATGAAGATACGAACATAGAGAGGTAATAATTTCCTGTTTACCCATTTTTTTGTTTGATTTTCTAATTATTTTGGTATTACCAAGTATATAAGAGTTTGTGCCTCTATATTTGTAACTATTTGGCTGTTAGTTATACGAATGAATGATTACTAATTCCTAGTAAGTCTTGCCTTGTTTAGTGACCATTGTACTAGTAGTTATCTTTATTTTAATTAAAATATGAAAGTGAAACCGAATCTTTTCGTATTCGTTAAACACTTTTTGAACCATAAACGTTTTTTAGCGAATTCATCATTTATTTTCTACAATCCTACATTAATGACCGATTTTCACACCCAGTTGATAATACATTAAAGTCAAATATTATAGTTTCTGATGTCTTCATGAAAATAGACTTCAGATGTGTTTTTCGTGATATATTTTTGTTATATCCCGATGAGAATAATGAATAGTAACTTTTTGGATCCATTTATAGACCAATACTATACGTATATTTTTATTGTATAATTGATAAACAACTAAACTATTCATATTCGTGTTCCTCTTATCATAAGCTTTATTTTGACCTACGAACTACTATTATACGATCTTCCATTCTTGAGTTATGCCCAGTCTATCAATTACTATCTCCCTTATTCACAGCCACATTTGGCTAAATCTTGTACAAATGTTGTTTCCTATTTTATGGTACGATGTGAACTATTTGGTTAGTATGTAAACCAGTTTGTTTGAAATACATGATTCATATCGCAGAGGCTGAGATTGGTGTTTAAATGTTTATCATACATATATACGGTTGGTTGACGAGATATAGAAAGCATTGATTCAGTACCACTGCACATTAGACCGAGAACTTATCTTTTATTAGGCCTTAACAAAAGACCTGTGTTTATTTTAGTCAAATATTACTTGATGAATTATTTTGTTTAGTCAGTCAGTAACAACGTAGAACTTCGTGCGTACGTACATCAGTTCGAGTTGCCACACTACATTAGCACAGAGATGCCGTGGTCGATTCAAATCCCGTAATGGTAGAGGTAATAAGAGTATAAGCAGTAATCGGAAAGATTAGTGTTTGGAGATGTTACTTAAAGAGTATAATACAGTGAAATAAACTTGGGAAGAGAAAAAAAGAGACAAGGGGGAATCAGGAGACCAAAATTTGGGAGAACACAAAGAGTGAATGCACCTGCGCCATTGCAAACGATTTTGAGCCATGTCATTCAGGGTCTCTAACCATCGGTTGCTATCATCTCGCAGTCCCCAACCAGGTAGTCTACACCTACCAACATGATTCAGTCCACTTGTCAATGACTTCATGAACTTGTGCCATGTTTTGGTCTGGCCGCCCCTAGCTTTCTTCCAACCTACTACTATACCAATGAACATCGCACGTCGAGGCAGTCGGTCGTTGGGCATACGTAACACGTGTCTCAGCCATCTCAACTGATGAAGTTCCACTACCTCATCAATTGATTTGCCATCCTTACCTAGTACTCGTTTCCTAACAACTGCATTACTTACTCGATGGTCCCAGGATATACGAGCAATATTTCGAAGATACCTATGATCAAATACTAGTAGTCTACGAATATCCTCTACTCTTACCGGCCATTTTTCACTGCCATAAAGCAGGACGGAACGAACTGCTGCGCGGTAAACCCGTCCTTTGATTGATAGACGGATATCTCGCCTACGCCATAAATGACACAAATTGGCAAAAGCTAGTCGAGCCTTCTGTATCCGTGCTGAGATTTCGTCACACACCAGACCACAAGGACTGATGAGACTTCCAAGATAAATGAAGCGATCGACACGCTCAATTACTTCACTGCCTATCATTAGTTCGGGTGTCGATGCAACCAAATCCTGAAGCAACATTTTGCACTTCGAGGGAGAGAATCGCATGCTGAACATGTATGCATTGTTGCTTAGAGTGGTCAGAAGACTCTGCATTTTGTCAGCGTCTTCGCCAAATAAAACTGTCATCGGCATATTCTAAGTCAATAAGTGAACATCCTGGTAGAAGTTCAACCTCTGTAAATTTAGATGAGGAAAGGGTCATCTCTAAAAGCACGTCAACGACAAAGTTAAACAAGAAAGGAGACAGAGGACAGCCCTGATGAACACCGCTTGAGGTAATCAATTCTGATGACAGTTCGCCATAAGCTCTCACTCTACCAGTTGTGTTCGAGTAGAGAGCCTGAATAAGGTTAATGTACTTCTTTGGTACTCCTTTCAGTGACAAACACTGCCATAGAACCTTACGACCGAAGCTGCTACCTTGACGCGGTGGTCGGGCTTGCCTATCGTGATGACCCAACCGAGCTATATTGGCTGGAACATATGTTCCTGTAGGTTCTACCATGCCAGGAAGGTCGATTGGAGAACGGTAAGACTAAAAGCAGCAACTCAAGGTCTGAGGGCGAAGTCGTACTGCTGATTGTAGAGGGGTGTGACAGCAGTAAGGTGTTTCCCTCGGACAACCAGCATCTGCAGCGATGCTGCCTTCCCACAAGGAGGGGTGGGGTTAGAAAAGGTCGACCCTAAAAATGTCACACCTCACCTTACCTCACGGATTTCCGTCTCTGGCGGTAAGGCCCTTTGAAGAACGGAGCTAACTCATTATTTTGTCCATCACAGTATTATTTAGTTAGAAAATTGTTGATCAGAAATGTGCCAATCTTAACCAGACAAATTTTTTTGATCGGCATTTGGGATAATTATTAATCACCTTTTTTATTTCAACTGTAAATCGGTTGAAATTGTATTACTTTAAAATACTACAATAAGAAAATAACAATAAAAGTAATTAAGTATTAGTGTAATAAAGTAAGGAGAAAATGAAATGGTTACCAAATAATCGTAAAAAATATGTTTAAAATTTATAAAGGCATTGATTAGATTCATCTGCATCAATGCTTGTGGTAATGAATTATATCCATTATTATTATTATTATTATTATTATTATTATTATTATTATTATTATCATCATCATTATCATCATCATCATGTCCGATTTTCGTTGGTAGGTGATCTAAGGTAGCACTCTACACTTGGACTCGTTATTGGAGCCCAGACATGAAAAACTAAAATTTAAATAGATGGATGGAATATTGACTGGAAATGAAACATGAACTAAACATTGAATAGAAAATGTCGCTTGATCGATTTTAGGTTATTATCTCTAATATATAAATTGTATTAATAACAAATCTAGTTGGACGCATCATAGGGATTCATAGAAATTTTGGTTCATAAACTTGCAAACACTTAATATGTTTGTAATATCCCAATCAGTAGAAAAATTAGGTTTTCCGACGTTTCATGACTTAGTGTAAGCCACTTCTTCAGAAAATAAAATTACTCAACCCCGGATTCCATTACAAACCTGAAAATATTGAAAAAGTTGGACTTAGTGGTTTATTTCTTAACTTTTTAAGAATAGTGGTTTCGAATTACTAACTTAATAAATGGAATTACTTAATGGAGTAAGAAAATAAAGACTCCATCTACAAACACTTCGGTTCTTAGTCACTTTGATGTATCAAGAAGGTTAGAAGAATCAATTTTAATATTGTAGTTCTAAGTTTGGTAGTAATTCACTGCTGAACTTGAATTCGAAAATAGCAAACATTTAATAATCACGGATTCTTGAGATGTTCGAATAAATGTGTTTCAGTCATTTTTTAATCCTTCACGTTTTGAAACACATACTTGGCCGATATAGAATAGACTTCACTTCGTTAATTGTAAAGCTTTGTTGACAACCTTTAGATTTGAATACAAAATTATATGGGAAATTATCTTTAAAAGCAATTCATTTAAATTTATATTTGTATTGAAAGTTGTGAATAGTTGTTAACTGGAGTGATACCAATATAACGGGTTTCACGAACAGTGTTGTATGTTAACATTCTTTTTCCATTTTGTTATTAGCATACTCGTATAAAAAAGTTGTTGTGTGGCGCATATATATTGGCGCTCTCTTGTACCAATATTTATGTGTTAAAATAAATAAATAAATAAATACTCGTATAAGCTGCTCTTTTTAACTCTGAAGTTTAGCTATATTCACTGTGATATAACCCACCCTTGTTAAACAATGGGGCACATTGAAGTACAACAGTGAGATTTCGTATATCTAAGATAAAATACTTTTCAATTGTTCATGCTTTTCTAACCATCGTCTTGTCAGCTTTTGCTTGTCGATATTTTAAAAAGAATGAGGGATGATACGTGAGTTCAGAGATCCCCCCTGTTTGTTCTTTGTGTTGATATAAAATGGGATCACTTTAAAACTACTAACAATTATAAGAAGACATAAGCATAAGATATTGAGAATAAAGACAGTACATTGGTATTCTTACCTTAATTTTTCATGTGTCAATTATACGCACAACTAGTAAAAGTATTATAATAATATACCTTACAAAATATTTTAATGTTTTTTTATTTTTTCTTAAATAAAATAATATCCAGTTATCTATTGGGGAAATCCGGTTTCGAATATATGGATCCATTCATTCCTGTTCACGTTGAAAATTACACCCCAACAGAAATTAATGCCTTATTAAGATTTTATGCAGAGAATAATTGGCTTACAAATCCCGCCGCTTTTACACCAAATGGACAAGCTGAATTAATATTTTTGTCTGATTACAATCCTCTGGAACTTAGCCGTTTGGCTGCTGAATGGTAGACTAATTGAATCTTTAGAATATTACCTGAGTTGAAAATTATTAACCTATTGTCTGTATATTTAAAAGACTAAACAATAGTAATCTCTTTCCTCTTCTAAATTGGATATTGTAAATATCAGTGAAATAATCCTTTAAATCTTTTGTACAGTTTTAACTTTCTGATATTTAGTGAAAAAAATAAAGTATTTTGATGCGACATATTTGTTCTCATTGCATTCGTTTATTCAGCTAAATAAAAATTGATATTAATTTTTTTATTGATCAAATAAATTCTTTTCACATGCAGTTTAGGTAATTCAAGAAATTCTTGCGAATTTCCAGTCGGTATTAGTTTTAGTTGCCTACTTTATATGTTTTCCATGCACTTCCAGGAATGCGTGTCTCCGCTGTGTGATTGTTAGCGTTAATTTGATCCTATTTATGTTTGCAACCTAATGCTCATTAATGGTCGACCAGTCAAAAGCCTCAATAGGATCCTGTAATCTCTGCAGCTAGCCAAGAGATCTATGAAAGCGATAGTCCAAATTCAACCAAAACTTGAATGGGACTAAAAATATCAGTCGTTCGGCCATCTAAAACAGACTTTCACTTATCTTTTCTTCGTTGAAAAATGTTATAAAAGCAAGTACCCACAGGAATTCTGAGAATACAACAAAACGGCCAAACACCGCTCTCAGACTTTGATAGGCCAATACTTAAAAAAAGATAAATGCCATTTTGTTAAGCCATATTTTTTATTGTACTTTCGCTTCATGGTGAAAGGTTTTGTACAAATTTTGATCTGCTCTGTTTCTAAAACTAGCAACTAATTTTTATACTGGTAGTGACTAAAGCAAGAAATTATTAATGTGTTGGTTGAATAAAGCAAATGGCTATGGTTTATTTCTAAATTCACATAAATCTGATTGTTATACGTTCATTTATCTCCTTCTAAAATGCAAATATTCTACTTATCTGAAGTTACGAAGTAACGCTACATATTATGGAAAAATTGTTTCGATAGATTTCAGGTTTTCAAACTTCTTGAGCTCTCTCAGTTTAATCACCTACTTATAGTATGGTTTTATTATGTATAAATCTATGCACAACCTTGAGTGATTACCAGTCGATCTAACTTGTGTTGTTAGGTGAATAAACAGAAGATATCATTTTCAGTAATCAATTGTTGCTCCAACAAAAGTACGTCTTTATTACCTTTTTAGTGGAAAGTTTGACTGTCATTTTAAGAATAATATATGTGTAAATTAAAGAAAAAGTCTTAGAAAACTGTTATGGCTGAAATCAGCGCTCGGATCCAACCAAAGACGAATTGGGGATGAATATATTGTAAAGAACGAAAATTAAGATGGGAGAAGCCAACTTATTGTTTCATGCAGAATCACACAGTGGTTTCGCAAAGTGTGAAAATCATGCATTAAATACATCAGTTGCACATTTTCTTTGCGTTGTCCTTTACACACCATTATTTCTCTAATTCTGTTGCGGTCCCGATTTCCTTCATATTCTCTTCATTTGAATCTTTTACTGGTAGTCGTTCCATTTCCAATTGCTGCTGCACACTACTTATATCTGTCAGCGTAACTAGCACACACCACAATATCACATCAGATTAGATTTGTATACTAAAAGTTACCAACGTATCGAAAGATGTATGGGTACATTTTAGATAAATTTGTTTATGTCATATATAGTTTAACCATATGGTAATAATTCTCGCTTTTACGGCTTACACAGGCACTCATCATCTAAAATTATAGCTTTTACTAAAGCATAAGACTGTTAATAACTACAGTTGTACCCAAGTCTTTGAATCTGTATCTAAATGCGTACGTAGTCACAGGCATCTCAAACCAGAACAAAATGTCAATTCTTAGATTCAGTTACCTGTCATAATATAAACTTATAAAGTGCTTCAAGAATGTAAATTTACCTAAAATCCAGTTGCAAACTTAATTGAATGTACACTTTGTTGGAAATATTTAATGAAGTTCAGAATACTGATCCCAAGTTGCAAAAAATTAAACTGTTGATTCATAGGTCGATGGAAGTTTTAACTTGTGTTAAGTATTCAGGAGTAGTTTGACTTAGTTTGCATTCCATGATCACTAGAAGGTATTTAAAGGTATGGTGGGATTCCACTTTATGCATTCACTCTCGCTGTAGTGTATGGGTCTGTTTAATTGTCTTCTGGTAGGCTGGAAATCTGTTGTGAATCTCAGAACAGTCGATTTTGTCATCCGTGCTTCGAGAGTGAAATAGTGTTTTGATACCGTGTTTGTGATGGGCAGTTATTATAATACATCGGTCTTTCCGGGATTTTAGATCGACTATTTATCCCTCTGACTAACCGCAACTAAAGCCTTAATGATATTTTAAAAGATTCAACATTTACTAAATTGTCCTGTAGGTGTTGTTATCGAAATGTGTATCTCTTGTCTTTTAGTTACCTTTATTACTGTGAGTTACCAACGGATTTTCAGAAGAATAGTTATTAAAATTCATGACAATATTGTTGGACACTAATCGCGTTAAAGTGCTCGGTAACTTCAGTCATCCGTGCATAAAGGATATGCTCCTGACGAAATTATATGTGTAAACTTCATGTTAATGTTTCACATACCACTGATAGTAATTATAGGTCATCATGCTTGAAGAACGTGGAATTCATGCTAAGTGGTCAGTATAAGTATTGAAACTAAATTAAGAATATTACAAATAGATCAGTTATTACTAATAACATAATTAATAAAGGTATTCAGCATAGTGCTCTAAGGTTGATCTAATGAATAGTAAAGCTATGCTACCACTAACTTTGTAACACATTGCTGTTTTCGTGTGATAATAAATGAGACAAGTCAAATGAGCTAAATTAGTTGTCATGAATCAATATTTAAAGATCTGGTTAGTTCACATTATTTTATTCTTATACATACCGAATGATACTTCTTGTGCGAATTTCTTCTAATCTTTTTCTGTTGCAACTAGATTTTCATGAATAATTTTTATTAATTCTTTGTTTTACAACGGGTGTTGTTTTCTTTGATTGCATACCTCATGAACTGAAACTGGTTTGATCTATTCCTATCAAAGTTCATCTCATTGATTATATATTTGTCTTTACTATTGGCCAATTGTTGCATGAAAGTATGTGATGATGTTTTAAAGTTCAAAATTACAAGTGTTGTACACGTCTTACTGTCATGTTATAACAATAAATATCAGGGTGGTCATTAGTTTTTACTTGGGGTTACGTCAACAACTTGTTTGTCTGAATTTTATTCTTCTTTGGAATACAAGTTATGATACCGAGTTTAGTAAACGATTTCCCGTGCAGTTTTCACCACAATTTTTTTTGACGGCTTACATGTATATTTAGCTACAAAAAAGGCATTTCTTTGTTTTGAAAAAGATCTCGGTAACTAGTTATCTTGTTATAATGATAATGATATGTGATCTAAATATTAATAAATTGTACAGCCTTAATAAAGCAAACTTATTGTAACAGGAGGTTTGTGAGGGGTGAGACTATAATTTATGAACGAACCAATCAGATATAAGATAGCAGTTTCTGGATTTTAGTTCGAAATCCATCCACTAATTTGGCAAAATACTATTTCGGTAGTATGGCTGACGTTATCTCGTGCTGAAAACCCTAAATCTAATTCCTAACCCTCACCATCAACTGTAAATCATAATTCTAATTTTTTACACTTTTATAACCTTTATTTAGTCCTAGTTAATAGGTTGACATTTTCAAGGTCATTTTGTCGTCACTTCAATGCCCTCCATAAATGTTCATTCCTTCGATTCACCCTTATTTATAGTCCAATCCTTATTCATAATCACTAATTTTTATTCTCATCCATTTTGGAGTTTTTTAAAATAAGAATGTGTTATAGTATCAAGTGGAATTTGAAGAATGTTATTTTTGACATTTTATTTCCATATCTTCAGTACACTCATCATTAACTGTGACATATTCAAGCGATGGAATAGTAGTTAAAAATCTCTATTTTGGGGCTCAAGTTATACTCCACTTGCGTTTAAATATCTCGGTAGCATCACCGCATCTCACATATAAGGTATAATTAAACGTCAAGTACACGAGTTTGAATCCACTAACATACTTTACGTATTTCCGAATATATAAACATTTCTTTCGTTGATTTCCATCTGATTCTATTTTAGATATCGATTTGCAAAAATTTAAGGTTTCAAAGCTCTTTTATCCGATTCAATAATTCAACTGAATTTTCAAAATCAGTAATCAGATGCCAAAAATTTCAAATGAATTCTGAGTCATTTCAGGAGTGTCGTAAACAAGCCATTGAAAAACTTCACAAATGGTTAATTCATAGTCAGCTTCCATTGAAATTTGCTGCAGCAGATACAAAAGATTCAAGTTGCAATTATGATTATACTAGTTATGATCCATCCACTTGGCTACCTTTGGTTCATTACAAACAAACAACATATTCACAACTTGATGAAATGGCTATTAACGCCTGTAAAGCACAAAAACAATGGATTGATTTACCATTACTAGAACGTGCCAAAGTGAGTCATATTTCTTCGCTAAGTATTCTTTTCATTAGTTTTAGTGAAATCAAAGAATTATTATAGTTAGGTCCTACAAAGACCGAAGTTATCCATGATCAACGGACCAAGTAATAATTTTTTTCAAAAACAATACTAAGTCCGCTACTCACTAAACTATAGTTTGAACGAAATATTTTTCTGTGACATGAGATTAATCAAACTCAGACCCCTCAGTCTCGTGTTCTCACACTGAACTTATAGGCCACGGCGTCAGCATCCACTGATGTGTCTAACTTCAATCAATACGCAACACTTCACGACTATCTTACTTGTCTTTTATAAGTAACTGCCTCACACCCGACAGGGTTTAGCTCCACTACTGACAGCTTCTCACTAGAACTCAAGAAATTTCTCGAATCTAATCACTAGCGCTTTCGAGTTTTCAATGGTGGTCTAACTT